ACAGGGACTTGAACTCCTGACCGGGTCTGCATCAGATTCCCCCTTATTTATTATTTGTTTAAGGGACGCTGCCTGTCTTAGGCGGTCAGTGCGAATTCCCCCGTCTTGTCATCAAAACTCATTGCAGCATGGCAATGGCTCTGTCTTAGGTTGCCAAGGTTCCACATGATCCTTACCCATCTCTGGCCACACGTCCAGCATAAGCAGCCACCATCTGAAGAAGGCAGGGAGGGAGGAGACCGGCTGGGGACCCCATACACAAGATGTTGCTAGACCACCACCTGCTCTAAGGTGACCAAGCAGGATCACTATGCTGAGGTTCAATCAAGTTCTTAGGGGTAGCAAATTAGTAGCCACTTTGCTCTAGCAGGGGTAGCAAATTAGTAGCCACTCAGTGCTCAACTTGAGAATTACTTATGTCAGAAATTTGAGCATGTAGCTGATGAATATCCACAGACAAGTGGATATTATTCCACAACCTCCTAAAATGCTGTTGAATTAAGTTCCAATCAAGTTCTGGATTACTGAAAAATAACACAAATCTACTTATATCGTGAACAACCTTAGCTGGGAGTGTTAACTAGATATATTGAATCTTATTTCCCTTGAGCCATCTTCCTTTCTCTAAAGCATTTAGTCTGTTTTGTAAGCCTTTATCTATTTACTCTTGGATCCTATGAGTGAGACTAATATCCCTAGACAGTTGATTTACATGGTGGGCAGGGCAAAAAAAGGTAACAATTCCTCTTAGTGCATAAACTGCTGTTTCTAGACTGGTACACTTAATCAGTTTACATTCAGTGTAATTATCAATAGGTATGAATTGATTGTTCTCGTTTTTCTGCTTCTTATTTCTTTTTCCTTCGTGGTGCTGCTGGATTACCTGTTCCACGTAAGTTTCTATGCTGAGCTCATTTTGTTTGGGGATTTTCTTTTATTTCTGTTTTGTTAATATTTGCTAAATCTGATTGCCTGCATGCTTAATTTTATTAATTCTTCTTTGTAAGTAAGTTGTTTCTAAGCTGCTCTCAGTAGTCTTCCATATTCTTTAGTTTGTAAAAGTTTGATTATGTAGTCTAGGTGATTTACTTTTGGGGTCTATCAACAATGCTGACAATTTTCTCTATGGATTTCCC